GGTCAGTGAAGAAACCTTTAGAGCACAGACTTCTGAAGTTTTGCAGTTTGGGTGTGTGGTGGGCTGCACCCTCGTCCACCAGCCCTAATTCTTCTGAAAACCTATACTCTTGTCCAAACAGTACCTGTCACTGGGCTAGAAGCTGGTGTCTATAAAAAGCTTTGATGGAGGAAGGGGGAACTTACTGCAATGATGAACACAAAACCACAAACACACACGGACGAACAACAGAAACTGGGGGAAGGGAGACAGCAGTTGGTGTGAGATATGAAAATAATAATACTTTATCAAGGGGTCACGAGGGTGGAAGGGGGTAGGGAGGGGGGGAAAGAGAGCTGATACCAAGGGCTCAATAGAAAGTAAATGTTTAGAAAATAATGATGGCAACATATGTACAAATGTGCTTGATATAATTAATGTATGATCTTTTAATAAAAATGTTTAAAAAGCTTTGAGCTCCATGGAGCAAAATACAGCATCTGATTACTGTTCCAGCCACCATCTTGTGTTTTAGGGAGCCACAGCCACCATTCCTTCTCCACCTCGGGCACGTACACACTAACCATCGGCCCATCACAAGCTGCTTTTCGGGGCCCAGCTGCAAGGTGCCTACCTCCTTGACCAGATTCTTGATCAGCTGATTCGCAGCCTGGAGATCCTCAGGGTGGTTGCTCTTCAGAAGCCTTGTCAGAAGCTGAGGATAGAACATTCCCTCTGTCTTAAATGGCCCCCGGAGGCAACCGCGGCAATACAATTCATGTGAAAAGCTCACACAGGACACTAGGATGTATTACTGGTTCTTGCTACAGACCAGTGGTTTTCAACAGGATGTAGGTGTGCACCTGTGCGGATGTGCATGCGTGTATGGGGGGAGATGATATCCCTAAGGGTCACTTGGCAATGCTGAAGGAGCCCTGGTGGCACTGTAGTTATGCGCTTGCCTGCTAACCAGAAGGTCAACTAGTCATTCCAGCCCCCGAGTCGCTCCAAGGGAGACAGGCAAGGCAGTCTGCTTACATAGCCTGGGAAACCGGAGGGGAAAAGCCCACACTGCCCTGCAGGTTGTAGTCAGTCTACCCCAGGGCAGTGGGCTGGTGCGGTTTAGAGACATTTGGGGAGTCACAAGGAAGAAGAGGATGTTAGGTATCTAATGAGTAGAGGCTGGGGATGCAGCATTCCCTGGAGTTATTCTTTTTCCCAAGATGACTTGTACAGGGAAGAAGGAAGATTAATACGAAAATCATGCTATCTGGTCCATCCAGACCGCAAGCTACCTCATCCCAAGAACCTCCTTTTGCACAGACGATCTCTTGAACCCACCTCTCCACCTTCCCTCAAAGGGACCAGAGGACTTTCCAAGAGACTTTTTGAGTAGAGTCTTACAGTCAAGGTCAAAGAAGAGCCCCTTACCTTTGACTTTTCTTCATCAGCATCAAAAATGGAGCTCTTGGGCCAGGGAGAAGGTGGAGGTAATATCTTGTCCATTGGTAGCTTGGGGTCTTGCTTTATGATTCCTAAAACACACAATTCACGACATGTGATACTAGTAAGAATACCCATCAACTTCATAAACTCCTGCTTCCTCCTGCTCCGCAAGGAAAACACTGCCAACAAGCTTAAGAGTAAAAATCACGGTATGACCACCCGGGCTCTGCTTACTCTCTCAGGAGAAGGCAGGAGGCAGTACCAAGTCAGGTACTTCAGAGCCCATGGAAGGACACTGGACTACTAACAAGAGAAAACCTGTGGCCAACTAAGCAAGAGCAGAACCAGACCCCGCGGCCAGCAATCTTGCAGCTTAAACTGTATTAATAGGACCCGTTTACGTAAGTTTGTTTCCTCCCATGGCTCAGAAGCCACTGTAGGACCCATGAGGAAACTCTTAAAATGATTAAGCGAAGGCACAGGACAGGTTCGTTCTTGGAAAGAACCCAGGAAAAAGAGGGGTGAAGACACCCAGCTTCCTGACAGGATACAGAAAGGCTGAAACTCCACCTGATACCAACAACAACCCTGCACAATCTGCAAATCTCCAACTCCTCTCAAATCCACTAGAGAGCTGAAACTGCAGGGCATCCAATTAACTTAAAGCGGAGGAAGGGCAGGGCTCCAAGGAGAAATGAAATGGAAGTCTACATCAAGAAAAATAATCCAGTAAACATGTTCATAAGTTGCTTCCATGGTAGTGTGAGATATCAAGAAAATGTAGAACTTCTGGGGACTGAATAACTTCATGCCTCACACCAAGAGCTCACGAAGGCCATGGGAAAGACCCAACAGCCAAAGAGCCACTGCTGCTGAGCTGATTCCAATTCACAGAACCACCACAGGGGCTGCTCGGTCGGGTTCCCAAGGCTGTGATCTTCATAGATGCAGAGGCCACGTCTTTTTGTAGAGGGACCATGGTGGAGGTCATCGACCTTGCTGCTACTTTAACCACTGAACTACCATGGATCCTGGGGAAGCTTTACACTGCTGCAGAAAGGATGCCAGATACTGTCTACAACACTGGTAAAAACTCACTGCAGCGGGAAACGAAAACCGTGTGTGTGACAAATATGACTGGCGACGGGGTGGTGGCGGCAACTTTTGGCTAGACTGACTCAATCTTCCCAATTCACAGCTGTGATGGGCTTTGGGTCAACATGGGTATACCTATGGGAAGGTATGGGTGGAGTCAACCCGATCAGGTCACAGCCAGATGCCGTCTCTTTGGAGTGTAGCCTATTTATAAACGGCACTGAAAAGAACTGGCCTCTCTCATCCTCTTCTTGCCCTTCGTGCCTCCCTGGATCTTGCATCTGATTTCTGGGGCTGGCAGTCACCATGTGGCCTGCCCACCTGGGAGCTGTCAGCAGCCTGCCATGTTCCCTGCCTTGGATCCACACAACTCTGCCTCCACCAGCCTGTACTCTGCCTGGCTTCCTGCTTTCCCAGTCACAGCAGTCGTGGGAGTCAAGAAAATCTTCCAGCTTCGCATCAATGCCTGAGTTGGGAAGCCCTCCACAGACTTCAGTTGGGCTGAATTAGCCCAGCTGTGCAGGCTGCCTGATAGAAATGCCTTTCTAGCACAGATGCATGTAACTGATTTTGCTTCTCTAAAAACCCAGCCTAACACAATGGGCAAGAAAGGTATGCCCATTTTCAACCATAAAAATTACTTACCTCAGTTCTCACAGGAGGTCCAACTCTTTCAAAAATAAATCAACACAAATACAAAAGACATAAAAAGAAATAATACAAAGTACAAAAGAAATGCAACATGAATCGTGAAGTCAGACCTTGTTTCTTCAGCATTTGATAAGCATCTCGGATCTTGATGTCCTCTGGGAACCAGACCATCCAACTAAAGAGTATTTCGATGATTCTTCCTTTCACTTTTTCTGTGGACCAGGACCCTAAGTACTAAAAGCAAAAGGCAAGTGAAGGAGAGCTGGATGGGACTTTTGAGGGCAATCCAGCCAGCACTTCCACTCAAGAAAAGATTGCTGGGGCCCAGAAGTGAGCAAGCAGCTCACAGCCGGTTCAAAGCTACAGCACAGCCCAGTCCCAGAACTCATCTTAAGTTTCAAGCAGCCAATCTCCAAAACTGTCCACAGTAAATGCTCGCCATATAAGGGCAGAGGTCAGTGCTGTGTGCACACTGCTGCGGACCTTCATTTACTGACTGGGGAAATTAGGTGTCGAGAGTGCTGGCAAACCCTGGAAGACGCGTGCCAGAAGGGAGGGATAGAACACGAGAGGAGCCAGGAAGGGGCGTGAAAAATAAAGTGACACCAACTATCTCTTGCTGTAGGTACCAGGAAGATTGGTGTTGCCAAGCGAGGCTTCCTCTCGGCCACGCAACCACAGGGGGACTTGAAAATACCATCAACCGCTGCTGAGGAGGACCACATCCTGGACCTTAGAGGAGAAAGCTTTCACTTGCCGGAGCTTCTCAGACCTCTCGAAAGCCTGAGACAGGTGACAGGCTCTGTCAGTGTGTAGACTAGTCTCTGGCCTGAGTGAGGGGACAGGAGGGCGTTTGAAGGTTGGAGCCCAAGGCTGAGTAGGGGAGTTCTCACCTTTGGGGACAAGAGTTTGATAAGCTCATTCAGGAAGCGGAACTTGGCCACTTCGCTGTGAAACTTCTCTCCACAGTGGTTCACACACATCTCCAGCACCTGCACAGACACAGGATTCCATGAGAGGCGGTGCCCCGTGGCCCCCCAGGAACTTGTGCGCACTTGCTGAGAGACTTACTGGAACCATGGCTAATCTACGACACTAAGGAAGAGTGACATTTTCAAATTTAGAAAAAACCAAAACTATCACCTGTTGAATCTTGTAGTAAGTGCCAGGTTACAGCTCAGTAAAGTGTATGTACCCTGAGGAAACTATTTTTTAGGTCAGAGAATCACCCCTTCCCCAGAGGCAAGAGACAGGCAGTGCTCAAGAACTACTGAGCAGAGGTTACCCGCTGGCCCTTCTAGAGCAAACTAGGTCTGCCCACAGTTCCTTGGGTCTACATTGTTTTCAACACTACAAATTAGTCGTCATTCAAAAACTGAAACGTCATATAAAAATGTGGATTTCGGGTTTCATTTGGAAAACAGAACGTTTTAACAACGCCTGGCATCCATCTGGTGGCCATTGTGGCAGCTGCCCTCTTTTAACATGGGCATGTGCTCTCTAGTTCTGAGGCCCTCCCCCAACTGTTTCAAACATTTATGTTACCAGACTGGCCCCTGTGGGCACCTGGCCTTGACGCACTTTCCTAGGGAGAGAAAGAAAATATGACATTCTTTCCCTTCCCCCAAAGAGGCCTCTATGCTGCTCTCGAGAGACCTAAGCTGGAGTGATCTGAGTCCAGAGTTCCCTATTGGTCTCAGAGCCTCTGCATATGAACCTCCCAGGGGTCCCCACCAAGTTGAAAAGGGACTGGGGTTGATGAAAAGCCCCTCTCAGCAATCTCTCCAGCTTCCGGCAGGAAGGTCTAGGCTAAGGGGCAAGTCACACTCACCGTTAAAGCGTAAAGAGCTTCTTTCTCTTGTGGAGACTGGATTTTGTGGGCCAGCAGCCAAGGCGCATGTGTTGGGCTAAGAGAAAACAAAGACCTGGACTGAGTGGTCACGCTGGGTAAGCTTGATACTGTCACCCCTCTCTAGGAGCATGTATCCTGGGGCAGAGGTGGAATAGGACTGGCCCACAGACCATGACCAAGTCTCTGAGGGGGGTCCTCCTCTGTGGTAGTTACATAATTTTGAGTCAACTTGAAGATGTATTAAAATGTAGAGGTGGGAGCTCCCTCAACACAAAAACACTTTGTTCTAACAATCTGGCATTCTGTGATGCTCACCCTCTTGACACGATCGCTGAAGACAAAATGGATGCATAAGCATATGTGGTGAAGTTGATGGTGCCCGGCTATCAAGATAGAGCATCTGGGGTCTTAAAGGCTTGAAGGTAAACAAGCGGCCACCTAGCAGAGAAGCAGCAAGCCCACATGGAAGAAGCACATCAGCCTGTGTGGTCACAGCCTGTGCGATCATGAGGTGTCGACGGAATCAGGTAACAGGCACCAGAAGACCCAAAACAAAAATAACATTTTTGAGAATGAGAAGGTGTAAGATATAAAAATAATCATTTATAATTTGTCAAGGGGTCACCACGAAGAGGGGGTTGGGGAGGTTAAAAAGAGGAGCTGATA